CGCTCAGCGCCCGCCCCCCGCCGGGCCCGCCCGCCCCGAGGCCCAGGGGGCCCCGCTCCCGGGGCGGCCCGCGCTCACCATGTAGAGGGTGAAGGGGAAGCCGAGCAGGAAGAGCCACAGGTAGAGGTGTAGCGCGTTGACCCCGGCGCCCTGGTGCGGGTCCTGGTACCAGCCGCCGCTCAGCGCCGCCCACACGCCCTGGCGCAGGATCTGCAGCACCTGGGAGCCCATGGCGGCCCCGCTCCGCCGAGCCGGCCCCGCTCTATCCGCCCTGGGAGCCCGGGCAGAGCCGCGCACCGCCCGCGCTCCGCGACAGCCCGCACGGCCGCAACCGCAACCGTCGCCGCCGCCGCCTCCCCAGCAACGCCGCCGCCATCTTATGTCCGGGCCCCGGGCCGGCCGCCCGCCCCCGCGCCGCCGATAGACCGGCAGCCCTTGCGGCAGGGGACGCCTACCCCGCTCTCTGTCGCCGGGGAGGGACAACGCTGCGGGGGCGGGGGCAACCACCACTGCGCCTGCGCGCGGCCGGCCCGCCGCCCTCCTCGCCCCCGGGGTGGCCGCAGCGCCTCCTGGCGGCGTGGAGGAGGGCGACGCTGCGGCCGTTACGGCGGCGCTTCTTCGGGGCCGAACCCCAACCGCAGGGCCCCGCCGCTGGCGGCGACTTCCCTGGGCTCTCCGGACGTGACAGAACCCGGGATTCCTCTCTGGCTCGGCCCCGGGGCGGCTCACGAGGCTTCTGCGTTGGCGGCTTAGGACTCCCTCCATTTTCTAGAGCTACAGCCACTCAGGGCTTTTCTTCCCCCTCAGCCAGTGGCACCAAGGCACGGCGATACCACGGAATGATGGGAAAAGCCCTCGGGATCACCACGTCCCGTGGCGAACGCTTGAGTTGTCTAAAATTGAAGGACGCCACGTTTGAAGTCCTTCCATTTGCTGTCAAGACCCAATTTTACCAAACACCCCTGGTACCATTCCGTTCCCAAAGCATTTAAAGAAAACACAGTTGTTTGGATTTCTCTCCAGCTTTTGCCAAGGAAAATGGCAACTCAGCTTCTAGACGAATCTTTTTATGGTAGGCTGCTGGTGAGCATCACGTCCTGGGTTTTGAAGCTTTTCCTTTAAGTACATCCCCAAAGCCATGCACCATGTAGAAAGAAACAGATTTGGGAAAGACTTTTGAGGGCAATGCCAAGCAAAGAAGGGGGGGATGTCAATTCATCCATAGGGGCTGAAGACATAATGCTGAAGATCCTTCATTAAATTTCCTAACTCCAGCCATATTTGTGTGAAAAGTAGCTTTGAAGGCATGCTAAGATACTGTCTCTGCTATAGCAGAAGAATCCCACCCAGGTTCTGTCCTGAACCCCATTTCCTCCCCCACTCAACCGGTTCAAGAGCGAGAGCTCACAACCTTCTGGGCCTCTGCTGAGGAGGAACTGCAGTGCACAACACCCAAACAACCAGTCATGACTCATGATGAGCATGCATTTGGGCCTGTGTTTTCAAGAGACTGTGCTACTGGCGCAGTCTCCCCACTGTTTTCCTCCCAACAGTTAGGTAGCCAATAGCAGCATCTGGTTATTCTTGGAAAACCAGAAGACAGAAGAGACTGACTCAAAACAGATGTAATGATCTGGTTTTTTTGTTTGCTTCCCCAGCAGGAAAGTAAGGAGAAGGAATGGATGCAAAACCCCAACCATGATAGCTCTCTTCCTAGTATAAACAAACAAGTTTTTAACTTTATTGTTTCAAGGAGCGCATTTTTGAATATGTGGCTGCTCATACTGAAAAGGAACTTTTTACAAATTATGTCAAACATTGCTGAAGTAGAAGCAAAAAGAAGGATGTGTAAGGGGAGGGGAAAAAACAACAAAAACAAACCCAAGGAACAGAAAAGCTTAATGGAGATTTTTCATGGGTGAGGAGGGAGTATTCTATTCTCTACTGGGATAAAGCCAAGCATGACAAGCATCGCCACTTACTGTAGGCTCAGAAGAAATGGAAGAAAATCAAACAAACAAAAATAACCTCACAAACTATGAAGTCTATGCTTCACTCCATCATGTGCCAAAACACCTTTTAGAATTACAAACACAGCTGTTAAGAGATGAAGTTCTTAGGATGTGTTATCCATAAATACACTGTGATAATGTAACCATCAGGATTATGAAGCGTTAGTTCTTCCAGCAGCTGTTTCATTAATGTTACATAAAAGCTGTTCACCTTCTCCACAAAAAGAGGAAAGAAGGATAGCATTCATTAATAATTTGTCTGAAGGCTGCTAAACACAGTAAAAACATTTATGCTTCTGTTTAAGGGCCATTGATTGAATCTGGAGAGATTAGCCTCAGCCTTACAGTAATGATTCATGTTAAACAGAATCCCTGTGTGACAGGCTGGAATTCCCTAGCCCTGCTCCTGCAATATTACTGGCTCAACCGTGATGCACAGCAGCATAACCTAGTTCAGCACAGATAGTCCTGCTCAAGAGAACTGGATCCTAGGAGTATTTAGACTGAGTCAAGTAAAATAAGCAACAGAATCTGATGTGCGTGAGAGGACAATTAAATCCCATTGTTCAGCTACTTAAAGGCATGCAGGCTGAAAACATTAGGACACAAGATGGGAAATAATATTATTGGAATCCAACCATGCTTGAAGGTAAAACTAATAATGAACTTAGTTGTAGGCATCGTTAATAAAGTAAGGAAAAAAATCATGATTAGCTTTTCAAGGAAACAAACAAAGCCCATCAAAAACAGCGTATTAAAAGTTCAGAGAAACAGTGCATCTGAATAGAAAGCAGCAGGAGTACTCTCAGACTATGTATTGAGCCTCTGCAATCCAACAAATAACTGGCTTATCTTCTGTGCTCTGCTTTAGCCTTACAGTACTTCTTTAGGATGAACGCTATTCCCTGCTCAGGCAAAAGAACGTACTGTAGGAAAATAAGAGCTTGATAGTGGTGAAGAGTGAACAATTTTTAGATGAAATATTTAAGTGGAGGCACTAAGTCAGATGATTTGAGTGCAACCTATTTTTCTCCAGCATTTCTCTTATAAATTATTATGCCAAGACTGAGGCAAAAGAGTCATTTTGCTGCATAAGCCAGCACTGTGCAGGAACGGACCAACTCAAAACTACAATTATTATTTTGGCCGGACAACATTCTTAATTTCCTCACATTCTCAGTACACAGTCAAGCATCTTTACAACTTCAGGCTACTGTGAAGATTTCTGTAGAATACCAGCATTACCGGTTCTCTTTACATAACCCACCTACTACAGATATGGCTGTTTGGACTTGGCCAAGGAAGAACTCTCTTTTAATCATAATCAGAAACACTTTTCTTTACTTCATGCCACACTCCAGTGGGTTGAAAGGGCATTTGCAAAATTAGGGCAATGCTATATGTGGTGCATGATAAAAATGTAGGCTATATAAAATACTCAGATGAGATTATCACAATTTCTTGATTGACCTTATAAGCACACTTTTTTTGCTTTTCCTAAATGCTTTTCCTAATAAGAAGATAATCAAAACTAACAAACAAAACATTGAAACAGAACTGCTCCAACATGCTGGCATTTCTAAGAAAGCAATACTGCAGCAGCATGTTTTGGACTACTGTTTTTACCTTAGCCTTAGTATCTCTCATCTTTGCATTTGAGGAAGTTAAGCTTTACACTTTTTCCTCCAGTATTTCCTCCACCTTTTGTGGAATACCCAAAATTGTAATTTTAAAATTAGTTAAAGAAAACGCCTAAGCTTTATGACAATACAGAGTAGCTAATTAGGACAAGAGGTCAAACAAAAGGTTAAAACGAATATTTTACCTAAATTGTGTGGAAGTCATTGTCTGTAAACAAGCACATGATTGGCATTTCCTTGTTATTTCCATTGCAGTAATCATCACAGTTTGATACCAAGCTGTAAGTAGCTCATAAAACAATCAGCAGAAAATAAGTAAAAGACTAATTTACTACTTTACAATTAGGAGAGTTAGTACTTCTAGTCTCCATGCTGGATAGTATTGTTTTTGAAGATTGACAAACTAGGCCTTTGTGGCTCATTACCAACTTTTATTTACTTGTTCCTATTGATTCCTTGTCTCGAGATCTATAACTAGACAGCAGCATTACAACCCTAACTCGGATCTTGCTGACACACATTTCTTAGTATGGTTTGGACAGAGTGTCCAAAGCTACAACTCTTACTTTTTTTTTTTTTAAGACAGAAGTCAATTTCCCATGTAGTTTATTAGCATCAGTAGCAATAAATGTGTTTTAATCTCTCATCATCTCATATGAGAATTAAGAAATAGGCTTATTTACAAGGGTGATAGCAAGCAGAAGTTAATTTTACAATACTATTTGTTAGCATAGTTTCATTGTGAGATAGATTGTATTAAAAAAAACTGTCAGGAGGCTATTCTAGACTTGCTTTTAATTGTAGTAGAATGGTTTTCAACAATACAAGACACCCCTGAATGTGTTGCCATCACCTTAGCATCTGGTTGCAGCTCATCTGCTCTTCTCACAGCTTTTAAGCAAACATCTAAATGAGAGTCAGATCCTTTCACAGACTCTGCTCCCTTCTCAGCAGCTCTGTTCCCTGGTTCTCCAAAACCCTCTGTGAGAAGTCACATCAGATACAGTCTTACTCATAAGAGTATCACACTGATATTCGGCCCTGGACATTACCCCTGCTCCCACCTGGAATACAGCCCCTTTAGTGATAGTATGGAAAGCACATGCATTTTCTGGCATTTCTGCACAGATCAGGCAGAGATTTAACAGCAGAAAGGTTACATGCCAGGAGACCTCCTCCCCCTGCTGTGCTGGTACGTTATTACTCACACCACGCAGTGCAGCCTGCAACCACCTTTATCACAACCATGGCACATTGTGCTCTTCCAGCTCCAGCTGCTCCTCATGCAGACAGCCTGCCCCAGCAGTCCTGGAGACAGGCCGGGGCTTCTCCCTTAAGGTAGAAGAATGCACTTCTTGCCCTCAAATACCTAGAAATAGGGGGGGGGGGGGGGGAAGGGAAGTGTTTTATTTCTTTCCCCCACCCAAATATTTCTATGACTAATAGATCTCTCTGTAGTATTTCACAGTGCTGCTCAGGGAGAGATCAATGCAGTCAGCACAGGATTCTAATTACTGATCTGCAAACAGCTGAACCATGAAGCTCTCAGTACCATTAACCCCTGCTCTTGCAGTTTCTCTCAGCTGTGGGCTGCATTTTTTGCACAGTAAGCTCTTCTTGTATCCTCTCAAGACAAAATACACAGACCGAAGTGAGATTCTTCCCATAGAAGAGCACTTATATCAGTTTTTTTTATTATCAGTGCTTAAAGAGGAAAAAATGTTTGAAATGGATCCACATGGACAAAGGAGTCCCATGAGAGCTAAGGAAAACAGTATTCTTTCTCACTTGATGATTGCACCTTTCTGGCCACTAGAATCTTCACCTTGCCTCCTTACTCTTCTGTTGTCCAGAGATTGCCTCTTTCAGCTGGCTGTTTCCAGCAGGTAGGTGGGCTCTAGTTTCACTATTCTAACCTCTTCCAGCTGCTTCAGCATGGCTGAAAAACCAATTGGAATAGCTTAATGCTCCCATGCATTTTTATGCAGTTTTAAAATGAAATTTCATCCTAAGGATTATTCTGGTAGTGTTTCTTGAAAGAAAATTGTAGCAGCGTCCACTTTCATTGGGCCTAATTCTGTGAACACATCCATGCAGAAATCACATAGAGGAGCATCATCAGTGTACCAGTGACCGCAAGGTCTCTGTGAACAAAGAGACATTTGCTAGCATTACTGGTACAAGAATTGCCTAAAACCACCATGGAGATGAAACATAATAAACAAGGCTAAAATTAGAATATCCAAACACTGAGCTGACAGTATTTGAGCAGCATTTATACCACATTCTTTAAAGTACAGCACAGTGGTGCCTCATTGTAAGAAATTTCTACCAAACAATGATTCATGATGCCACTGGGATAAAATCCTAATTAAGATCTTTGTTCACAGTTAAAACTCTGTCTGAAGTATAAAGCTCCCACAACACGAGGACTAGTCCATCCATTATCATCTTCTACAGTTAAAGGTTTTCCTCTCTTTCATGGCTGGTTTTAGCCTTTAGAATCGGTGAGTTAAGCTTTTAGAACTTGTTAGTTCCAGCCTAGGAGAGAGTTTCAGTTTCAACTACATTGTCAGAAAGGAAAAACTTAAATATTAAATGCATACTGATTTCAGGGTAATGAAATGAGGCCAAAATTAGGACTCCCAAAGAAGAGGCAATGTGGGCAAAGTTTGGAGAAGAGTCATGAACTGGCTGTTTTATCACCAGGCATGTAATTTTGTATTATCCACGAGATAGATTACGTCTTGCACAGCTAAATAGGCCAAAAATACATAGGCACAGAACATGGGGTAGGGAGATTATGGCAGTGAGCTGTGCAGGAAGCCATGGCAGTGTCAGTGTGGTAAGAGCTGTGGAGAAGCTGAGAGTACATTAACTTGCAGAAACTGAGGAAATCTGCAGAATAACTAATGCATTGCAAGGTGAAAATGTTGTATGGGGACATAAGTCACAATTTCACTTGATTTGATTTCACATATGTACCAGGGCCTGTTGAGGTAGATTAGTTCAGAGGCCCTGAAGCTTCATCAGTTTCCCTAAATCTCCCTTGGATTTCATCTTCGTTCTGAATAAACAGAACACTGACTTCACATTTCTGTCTGATTTCAACGCCTTTCCTAGCTCTGTATGTGAGACTCCTCAGTGAATACAGCCTTGTCTGAAGTGGAATATGGCAGTGACTGTGTGCTTTAGTAGGAGGTGTGAAGAATAATTTTGACATTCAAGACTATTGGAAACAGTATGTAATTCATTGCCTCGAGGTGGAATGTAGCCATAGTTAACAACTTAAATCTGAGAAAAGAACTACAGAATTTCAGTCTTAAATCCCTTTTGGAAGGTAGCGTTGCTGGTCACATACTGCTTCAGCTTCAGTGTAGGTCGGCCTCAGAAGAAGAGGTGCCATATTTTTAACAACCAGTTAAAAGCCAAAGTTTAAATTCCCAGATATGTCTTATGATTTATACTGGCAAGAAATCTCAGCTGCATCACAAGATTGGCTCCTTCCTGTATTCTTTTTGTTCTCTGGAGGTCTCCCAGATAAGTATTGAGCAAGTCTGACCTGCTTACTGTAGAAGATCTGATGAAATCACACCGAGGTGTTGTGAATATTTTTTGCATTTGCTTGAATTGGCAATGCCTGAAGGTACAGTTGACAAATTTCAGAATGTGAAAATGATTAATCCAGGGGAAGTGCCCTGAAACACCACCACTTAATGGCAGATCCAACTAACCTGGATTCCAGCAACTCTTTAAAGAACGTTTTGAAAAGAAAACCCACGTGAACTACCCAGTGAGTAACATTCCATGAATCACTGAAGCACAGACCCAGGCTGCCCCTGATTTTCATTCCTTTCTCTCTAGGCCACAGTTTTATGAAGCATTAGTTTAGGGAAGCTATCATCCTACAGCCACACCACTGCACAAACCTAATGAAATCAGGCATACAGCAGAGTGAGGCAAGCCTGAAGGAGGTGTGATGAGAGCTTTAGGGAGGACGCACGATTTTTAAAGAAAAGGGTCTTCAGCAGCCAGCTGGAGGTGGCATAATTATTCATCAGGAAAACAACAGCAACTACAAACATCTTCTCCTTCCTCTGCTGGCCTAATAGATTTCTTCTATTCAATGGACAGCTGGTTTTCACCTACCCTTTGTAAACAACTTTTCATAGTAAACTAATGTAGAAGGAAGCTCTTACAGTCATAGAAAACCACAGTTAAACAGAAACATACACACTAGCTGACTTCTCCCCACACTCCCTACTTCCAGCTAGCTCTTTGCTACAACACAGTAAGGTAGACCCTGTAAATGTGGAGCACACCCATGCATATATACAGACCTGCATGCTCATGCACATATACAGACACTCCAGGTTCTGAAACAGCACCATTTTTCATGCAAATATTTTTTCAACTGCATTAACTGATAATCTTCAGCCTGTTTCTAAATCAAGCTGTGTTTCACTTTTTACATTTACCCCTTTGTCCTTGAGGTTGCCATTGGCATCTTTTGCACTCACTCATACAGGTAAGGCTTGATGATCATTATCAACAGTAGTGGCACAGCAGCACCATAGCAAGCAGAGAACTATACATAGCCAAGAAAAGTGGACTTAAAAATAGATTTGCATGATTCAACTCAGTGTTATCTGTTAAGACATACTGATTCTGCTGTATTTTTTGGTTACAGCCTTTTCATCTGTGAATAAAAGCAATCTGAAAAGCTGCTCTCCTTAGTTCCCTTACATGGATGTTAACACTATTGGAAATCAATGGACTGATTTACTCAGGTTCACCAAGTAAATCACTGACAAAAACAGTACTCAGACCTACCAGGTCCCAATCCATGAATCAGAATGAGTATTTGTACAAACCACACTTCTGTACAGACAGTACTACACAAGTGAGTTTTTTTCCTTCACAGACAACCCAGTGGGATGAAACATTCAATATTAATTCCTCCACTGCATTTGTTTGTCATACGAGATTGTGCCCAGCTTTGTATCAAGAGCAGAGACTAAATAGAGCAGTAGCAGTAGAATTTACAGATCAGAGAAATGCAGGCAGGTTTATTCCAAGACTCGGCCAGCCAACAGGTTTTCCTACAAACACTGCTTCTTAGTACAACCCTTCTGTGGAAAAAGAGTCTCACAAGAGACACTGTGAGAGTGAATCTAACAGGGAACAACACTTGGCAGAGTTTCTTCCTGACCACTTGCACAGGAATGAGGGATGCCCATCATAGATCAGCTTGTAAAGCCCTCACGGCAGATTCCTGGGGATTGTCAGACACCCAGAGGGTGCTGTGTTTCCCAAAACCACTTGCACAGACTCCTTGTGCAGCTGCTAAGCTCTTGGCTCCAGGTTTAGCTCCAGAGCATTGTCGACATTAGAAGTATTGGCCTATTTATTTCCTTGGTGCATTCTTTATCAGCCCTTGGCATGGAAAGAGATGTTCAGCCCCTAGGGAAATCTTTGATGGGTTTAGCAGTGAAAATGAATAGGGAGAAAACAGTTAAAGAACAAAGAAATTAGAGGTATGTGATGCTGATGCAGTTACTTTTATATTTCTGACCACATCTGCCTGGGAAACAAATAACCTTTTTCTGCTCATAGGCCTTCCTAGAATAGTGATGACTGCAAAATGGCCTGGAAACACTTTTCTGGAGATAAACAATGGAAATGATCTAACATTAAAAATAACCCCAAAGTCAAAAAATCAGAAACGACTTTGAAACAAAGGAAGGGTGGAGTAGGCAACTCTTTTGTGGAGAGATTCATACTCTGTTCATTCTGCTTCTAGAGCCCAGGGATGCCAAGTAAGGTTGCATCAGAAATCTGTAAGCTATATGTTTACATGTGTTAAAAAAATGTTCTGAACTTCAGAAGAATTAGTGAACCTATCGCAAAATTTTGAAGCAGTTAAAATTAGATTGAGTGATTTATCTTTTCACCATTGTTTCAGCATGCAACATGACATGAAAAGAGGTTTTGTTGCAAACAGTACTTGAATCAAAAAAAGCTATTTTGCTGTAGAAAATGTACTTCCAAGATTTAATTCAATACTGAGTGTTACACAAATCATATGAAAAACAGTCTTGCTGTGGTAACAGTACAATTAAACACAGGTGGCCAAAATATTGTCTCTTGGACTGAATTTTGAATTTCTGGTATACACTGCTTCTTCACAGTTTTGTTAGTATCAATGCAACTACATTCTTGCTTGTAAATCTTCAAATGACATATAATGGAAAAGAAGCAAAACGTTCCAAATTTTAAAAAAATAATGATTTAAGTCAAAGATCCAGGCATAATTTTGCAAGCTATGAATTGAAAAGCATCTTTACTCATAAGCTATTATTTTTACTGACATCAGAAACAAGTTAGATTTGGGGGAAATTCTATAGGACATGGGTCTTACAAGAGAAAAGTTCAGAGTTCATAATCATCCAGCTTTTCACTGCTCTCCCTTCTGTCTCGCACCTGACAACAGATCTAAACAACACATACTTTCTCAAAACAACTTCTGTGCAACTGGCAGGCCTGCTAGGAGCTTCTGTCAGATGCTGTGCCCAATAGTTAACTGCATCTCTTGTTTCTGTGAAACCCATCAAATCATAAGCTTGAAGACAAGTGCTTAAAGTTGTCAGATCTGCTCATAAGCACAACAGTTAGATTGCAAGGGACTGAGCTTAATGGAGTGATGGAAGAACATCAGCTTCAGGCTAGTAGTGTTTAGTAGGAGAGGGACTGATATCTCTGGAATATTTATCAAATTTGGTTAGCTAGATTGACTCTCAAGGAAATTATGTAGGAGGTGGCTTCACATGCAGCGTGTGTGGCCTTGTGTAGTCTACAGGGAAAAGAGACTGCATTACCAAGAGCTTATCCTTTGTAATAAAGCCTCACTTCTCCTTCCTGCTGATTAGACACCAACTGGCATTCTTATTGTGATCACTCTTTCTAACACTCTACCCAAAATAAGGATAAAAGCGTGCTGAGAGTCATTCAGCCTCTGTGGATATAAACCTGGTTGCTATCACGTCCTCTGAATCAACTGGTAGCAGAGCATAGGAAGAAGCCAGGGTCCTAAATGCATACGTAGTTACATCTGAATTAAAATTAATTCAAACCTTTAATGAAAGTGAATTCACCTGCAGTTTTTAAGAAAAAGTAAAAAGTTCACATCCCAAAAGCACTTTTTTTAACCCTTGCAGCACTCTCACAATTTATAGCAGCACATAGGTTAAAACAGTTAAACTGGAGAGCAAACAAGAAAGAGCTGAACTAAACTTCAGTTTCAGAGTGAAAGGAGATCTGAAAAGGTACTGAAGAAAAAGTACGGTGAAGAAAGTAAGAAGCAAAGACCATGAGAAGCAGCCTTTCAGTACACCTAATGGGAGGCTATAAGAAGGAGACTCAGTAGTGAGAACTGTTGTGATAGAACAAGAGGAAACAGTTACAAACTAAAACTAAAAGAAAGGAGATTTAGATTGGGTATAAGAAGCTTTACCACAATAAAGGTGGTGATGCCTTGTCACAGGTTGCCCAGCGAGGCAGAGGATGCCACATCCCTGGAGATGCTCAAGGTCAGGCTGGAAGGAATCTGAGCACCTGATCTAGCTGTGGGCATCCCTGTTCACTACAGGGGAGTTAGGCTAGATAGCCTCTAATGGTCCCTTCCAACATAAACAATTTTACAATTCCCTGAATCTATTAAGGAGGCATGCTAAGGTATGCCTGCAGACCCAGTTCTTCCAAGTCTCCTGTTGTCTTCAATGAGGCTGGACTCAGTTACATTGCTATTAATATAAAGCAGGTGAAGAAGATTTTTTTGTGCCACTGTGGACACTCATAACCTCACACAGCACTTAAACAGAACAACATAACCAGAAAAGCATTACAACAGAGATGTGAGGACCAGCACAAAAGAAAGGGGCTACAAAGGAAGGGAAGAAGAATGCTCACCCGTGTCAAAAGACAGCAGGGATTGTAGGGTCACAGGGGAAAGCTCCACCAAGGAGGGAGCTCCACCAAGAAAACCTTCCCCAGCGGCAGTCAGCCCTTAAATGGGGTCTAAGAAAGGTGCAGCCAGGCTCCACCCCTTCTGGTCACACAGCTGAATTGCCTTCACCTGTGCTCCCAGGGCTGACTGGGTCCTTTCCCCAGGTGCTCAATCAGTGGTTCAGGCTGTGACTCAGCAGCTCCCATACACCTCACATCTCACATATGCCCTTCTATATGCTGTGCTGTGCCCCTGTATGTCCCACCGTTGCCGGATGCGTGCAGGACCCAGCAACCTCTTCTCAATGATTTGGGCTGGGTGAGGAGCTCTGCCTGCCGTGACTCACCCTGCCTCATTCCTCCAGGGTTGCGCAAGTTGCTTATTTTTTCCAGAGTAAGGTTTTCTTCCACATTCTTTCTGAGATTGTTTCCCTTCAGTAAAAGTGCCGCCTTTGTGACGATTTCACCCAAAGGGTGCAGGAAATTAAATAATGCAACCTGGCCGAGTATCAAGGGCCCATTTTCTCAAGGGGAACAGGAAAAGGTGATAATGGTTTGGAGGCACTGGAAAACAAATACGTCCTAAGCAGCCTGCAATTGTTTCATGCGAGCGAGTGAAAACAATGAGCTTTGAGCCCTGAGGAAGCAGCGTGTGGCTCCAGCAGGACCAAAAATAGCTCGGGAGAGAATTTCTTCATTGTTACCGCAGAACAGAAAAATAAACCCCGTTTAACAGGCGGCAACGGAGGCAGGGACGAACGCTTGCGATGCCGACGCGCAGCCCGCGAGGGCCGGTCGGGGCGGAGGGACGCAGCCGCCGGCGGGGCCGCAGCGCCAGGCCCGACGCGGCGGGGCAGCGCCGGAGCCACCGCGGCACTGCAGCGCCCCCCGGCGGCACTGCGCGGCTCCGGCTGCCTGCCCGGGCCCAGGCGAGGGCGACCTTCCCGTGGCACGTCCCAGCGAGAGCTGCCGCCTCGCACATCCTCCTCCCCTTCAGCTGCCGAACTTCTAACCCTTTCCTTTCGTTATCCTCGTAAAGAAACTTTGGCACGCTATCAGCAATTCAAGGATGGACGTCTTCTGCTAGGAATAACTAGACAAAACAATTCATACGCTAAAATTCAATAGGAAGGAATCATCTTTCTTGCTGCTTTTACTCCCAGTTCTTTGCTGGTCATGAAGAAGCTACCCTGTACTAGAAATGATAACCATCTGAAAATAGGAAAATGAACTTTTTGTAGCTATCAAAATGGTCTCACTGTAGCATATTTTACATATGCAGTAAACATGAGAGAAATCAACTTTTTACAAGGGTAGAGTGATAGGGCAAGGGGAAATTCTTTTAAGCTAAAGGAGGGGAGATGTAGAATAGATGCCAGGAAGAAATTTTTTACTGAGAGAGTGATGAGGTGCTGAACAGGTTGTGCAGAGGCTGTGGGTGCCCTGGAAGTGTTTAAAGCCTGATCTAGTACTTGATCTAGCAGCTGGCAACCCTGCCTGTAGCAGGTGGGCTGGAACTTGATAATCCTTGAGATCCCTTCCAACCTAAGCCATTCTATGAAAATATTAAGAATTAAGAGCATACCAAGTTTTCCTAAAGCTTATTAGAAAAGGGTGGTTTCAGTTTAGAGTTTTAATTCCATTAGGTACTTGTCCACAATCCCAGGTAGGCACCTGTCGTAGTTAGAAGCTTCAGTCTAACAAGAGTAGATGCTGCTCTGGAATAGAATCTTTGCTGGTCTGAATTTGATGTGAATACTTGTATGGGAAATGTAGAGTTACGGCCTGAACCACTGATTGAGCACCTGGGGAAAGGACCCGGTCAGCCCTGGGAGCACAGGTGAAGGCAATTCAGCTGTGTGAACAGAAGGGGTGGAGCCTGGCTGCACTTCTCTTAGACCCCATTTAAGGGCTGGCTGCCACTGGGGAGGATCTCTTTCTGGTGATCCTTTCTTGGTGAAGCTTTCTGCTGTGAACCTGAGATCTGATGTGGGTGAGCAATCTTCTTCCCTTCCTTTATGGTACCTTTCTACTGTGCTGATTCTTCTGTCATTGCATCTCTTGTAACACCTTTCCCGGTGTATTGATCTAATTGCTACAGTACTTAATGAGTGTGACACGAAGCTCCAGATGTAGCAGAGCAGGAAAACATACTTGAGGAATACTAATGTGTAGAAAGCCTGTCATTTGTACATCAGTGAACCTTACTCTTGCTTAATTAAAATCACTTAATTTAGAGGAAAAATACCACACTATGAGAAAGGAGGTGTGTATCCTTCAAGAGTTAATGTTGTTTAATATTAGATTTTGAGAACTACTTAAGTGCCATTTAGAGTCAATGGCATTCAGCAATCTGTGTAGGAGAACTCCAAGAACTGTATTTCTCTCATGTTCTATGAAAGTTTCAAGCTGTATGGAGTTGTACAGATCTTTTACAGTGGGGAGAACCAGAGCTCATCAATTAGTGAAAGAAAAAAATAAAGTTAGTTAATTCTGGAATGAAAAGGCACATGTGTTGAGATAGTTGCAGCAGCAAAGCATGAAATTCATCTTCACTGTTTTTTGTCTCTCTATGGATTGGGTACTGCTAGGGATGGTATTAGAATAAAAATGTGATCTGTGTGTCTTTCTGCCCATACTTGCTGAAAGATCAAAACAGAATTGAGTCCATTTCCATGTAAGTACAAGGAAATCCCCTTCCAGTTGCCTTGTGAAGTACTTAAATGTATTCAGAATAACACTTGAGTTTAGTCATTATGGTAGACACACTGTAGAAAAATGTAGGAAGAAGATTTTTCTAGTAAAAACTGATACTTTTTTTTTTTTGAAGAGGCTGTTCTAACTGATTCTGTTAAGAATTTAAACTGTGATTGTGAATAAAAGGAGGCAGCAGGCAAATGTTGCCTATTCCCTCAAGACAACCTGAACAAAAACAATTACTACAGCCCTGACCTATTTGGTCTTATTTTAGACTGAGGTTTATTATTCTGAGTAGCAAGCAAACTTGCTGAATACATATTAGAGAAAAAAGACATCAGCCTCAGTAAGGAGAAAGATGGCTTTTCATTTGGAGTAAAATAATCTAATTTCACAACTTTGTAATGACAGATTTAGCACAGTTATGGTTTGGGTATAAAGTTACAAATCGGATATGAATGCTGGTGTCAGTAATGGATGTTGTGTCTTTATATGTCGTATTTCTAATGCACCATTAGAATTACAAATAAAGTTTCTATCTGTCTCTGGTGGTTTGAGTTCACGTGCAGGATTCTTCATTCTTGTGTTGTGTTTCTGAAGTTATTCAAGGATGGCTTCAGTAACCTGAAAACTGACTCAAAGTATTTGACAACTTAAAACCTAAATGAAGCCAGGAACTAGCTCTTCTCTTGGTTTTGACTTGTTTTTTGTTTCATTTTTTAAACAAAAACTCACTGTCCTCACAAAGAAAGATTCAGTCATTCCTTGGGCAACAGGCTTCTATGGGAAGCCATGGTGCCACAGGCAGTGTTGGCAGTTTGGCAGGAAGCTGGATGCTCTGAGGGAGTGCTGAACTGGTAGTGCCACTGAAGTATGCTGTGCTGCTTCATTCTTCACATGCAACATAAAAAGGAAGATTGAGGCCACCAGTGATTGTAAAGATTTCAGTACTCTTTCATGAAAGGTTTGTTCTAGTGTCAGTTCTAGCTGAGCAGTAACTGGAGTATTTGCTCTGCAATAACTTCTCTCAGATCCTCTATTCAAATTGCTTATATTACTGTTACATACATTTTCAAAAATGTGGCACAATGTTATCTGTGGGGTGTTCCTCTGCAGGACTGCCAACACACCAATGCCAAATGAAACGGGCTATACAAGCAGTTTGGAATGCAATGAATTATATAGCATGTAAATTGAAGTCACCAGTAAAGCAAAGAAAGACATAATTTCTCTTAGCTGTGTATCTTCCAGTGCAGTTAGGAAGCTCATCTGAAACACTTTCTCTGATTTATTTTTCTTATATGAATATTGATAAATGTATCAGTGCTGTTTGGCGTGTGTGAAATCATACTGTGACCTGTGAGTTCAAAAGATGAATCTTTAAGAAACTCACATTTTAGCCCAGAATTTCCACTAACCAGTGTTTTCAGTCTTGTTTTATTTTCCAGGTCATCTGTTCCATGAAGATGTAGCCATCTGGGAGATTAGCATATATATATATATTTTATGAAGCAGAGCTCCCTCTTGTACTGACTCAGATGCTGAAGTCCCAGATTCACAGCCTCCTTCCTAGTCAGCACGGCACAGCTTGTACAGCTTCTGTTGCCAGTGGCTTACCTCTCCCCTGCATGAAGAGCAAACCTACATTAAAGTGATGCTGGTAAAGCAGTACTTTTCTAAAGTGAGGAAAAAGCACAGTCCAGTTTTACAGCCATGCAGTGAGGCAATTTATAATGGTAGAAGAATCAATTCGTCAGTGAAGCTGACATTATTTGAGGAGACATTATCAGTTACTGATCAAATAACTGTCTACTGGCATTAGACACATCTCCAGATTGCTTTATATGGCTCTATCTGTGGTTATAACCATGGAACACAGTTGACATACATCCTAGGAAATGTATAAAAGCCAAATGAGAGCATTAGTGCCAGGATAATTTAAGATGCAATATAAATTACTATGGAATGCATAAAGAGTGAGCTATGCTAAGGAGACACACAAAGGAGCATCTCCTTAATCTTTTATACCTTATAAGTGTGCTGGCAGAGATGTGTTTTCATCAAAGCTATTGTTGGAACAACAGTAGTGACATTCTAGTACTATGTGGTAGATACTGGTACTATTTCTTCCTTCTGGACCTTTTTTGTTTTTTTCTTCTGTAGTATTTCATTTTTTTTTTTTCCTATAAAGAACACACAGAGAAGAACTCTGGAATGCCAAGATTTTCATAACCAGTATATGTTTATAACTATGGACTGGCACATTAGAAAGATGTTGTTATAAAACAGCTAGGTCCAGTTAAGAGAGGGAAAGGTGTCAGTGGAAAGAGCACTAGTTTAACAGTGTACACAAATAATTCTCAGAAGATAGGGCAAAAGCTGAGATGGTTGCCCTAAATGTATATGAATAATGGAATGCAATCAGCAGGGCAGAGTTTTTGAAGCTAAGACTAGGGATAGATGGGTCTCTTTTCTCCTCTAATAACTTTGCTTTTCTAACACAAAAGCAAAACTAAGCCTGCATTAAAACTCTTGGTCCTAAATTTCTGTTATGAAGGCATTCTGAACTACATTCAGATTATCTGTATTTTACAGATTAGTCTCCTTTTAAAACACATTGTGATGAAATCTGTTGCCAAACATTCAGAATCACTGAATGGGATTCAGATACAGACTTTGAGATTTGAATCCACAGTCTAATTCTCATTGTTCAGACTTGCTTGAATAATAATGGAATGTATAGGGTCATCTTAAAAAAACACATAAGGAAAAACAAACAACAAAACCCTCCACTGTAACATGTATGCTATTCATCAGACAATTGTGTGCTATTACAAAACTTTCTGTATCTCGCAAGAGTTAAAATATCATTCAGACTGCCTATGCTGTTTAATGTTACCTTCTTCTGACTTTTGCCAGTTACTGACATATTAGTTTAACGTTAACTGACTCTTGATATCAAGATAAATAGATGAACTGCCTTTCCAGTCTGCCCAAATCATTACAAGCAGAAGCTGCTTTCTGAGATAACTGGTGAACGATGCCAAGAGAAATCTCTGAGAACAGTAGAAACCCTTGAGGGCTCCTGCAGAGCATTTCCCTGGTCACTCTCCCAGCTCCAGGTACTTGTTGCTCTAGGTTTCCTACACAAGTGACACTCTTTCTGTAGAAATATATCATAGGAGAAGAAAAAGCACCAGGAGAAAAAAGAAAAAAATCAAGATCTATTTTACAAGTTAAATTGGCTGTGTACTACAATACCAAGGTACCCCACACGAGGGCAGGGCTCCGTCTCATTAGCTTGCTGCAGCAGGCAATCTGAGTATGTATAAAGTCGATTTACTTCGAGTTTTCACCATCAGCAGTGTAACTCTGCTGCTATCAAACACCAAAACCTTTGAAGCAATCTAAACATACTTCAATCAGCTAAAAAAAAAAAAAAAGAGGCCTTTATTTTGTTGTCTCATTAAATTTTTCAGAGGACAATTTTTAAGGAATAATACTCACTTTGGACTGTATTTTCCCATTGTCTGCTTTAAAGAAGCCATTATTTTCCATTAATATAACTGGACAGAAAGGTACTGGATGCAGCTGAGGGTGTTTTAAAGGACATTAACACCGCTCCTTCAGATTTCTCCTCAATTATCTATTATTTGAACTCCAAAGCTAACCTGAGTGGGGGTTGAACAGGAGAGGTCTGCCATCCCCCATCCCATCCCGTGCCCTTACATCACGCTGGCTTTAATGATCATGCCTGTGCACAGCCCTAACATGAATCAGACCAACCTGAAAAGCTGACTGAAATCTCCCTGCCTTTACAGGGTGGCTTAGCTTTCAGCTGGATGAATGAGCCGAAATGACTGTAGAGCCACGCAGGCACTGCTGCTGGAATCAGGAAAGCAGGTCAGGCATGTGACACGGCGCAGGGAAGCCCCTTTCAGCAGCAGTAACGTTGGATAAGCTCAGATTAATGGTGAAAACACTGTTTAGTAACAAAAGAACAGTGGAAAGAGTGCACCCTGAGATCCAGCCCCACCGGCAAGAGGGAAATACAAAAGTCCCGCTGCAGAACGTTGAGGAAGTACTGCCTGTCACCTTGTGCATAAAAAAAAATCCAACAAAAGCTCCAAAACAGCACCAAATGCTTCACTTCGAGTGCAGAATTAAAAAAAAAAAAAATCATTTAGCAAAAAAGAATTGTGTCATTCCCTTTGCAAAACTCTGAACAGACACTAAACTCAAGACTTCACGTGGGAACACAGCTGGGAAAACAAGCGTTCCCAGTCAGGAGGCGCTGCAGCCTTTTCACCTGCAGGCTTATCAGTGACACCTGCAGCGAAACACGAAGAAAGCCGCCCTTTCCCGTCACTCAGTGTTACGTTTTTCCCTTGGTGAGCCATCCGCATTAACCTTGCGTGAAGCCTAGGTAACGCCTGCGCTGGCGCACAGCCTGACCACGCGGGGATAAACGAAACCGCAGCCCTTCCACGCTGCGCCGCCTACAGCCGACCGCAGCGCAGCCGTCGCGGCTCCTCACGGCACGACATGGCGGCGCCCCGCCCGCAGCGCGCTCCCGCGGCCTCGTGCCGAGCGCAGGCGCAACCCCGCCCAAAACCGCTGCCTCGGCGCCGCGCGGAGAGCCCGCGCTGCCATTGGCCAGCGGCGCCGCGGCCGGCTCCGCCCTCCAGCTGGCGGCGGGCGAGCGCGGCCCAGCCCACTCACGTCCGCCCTCTTTCGGCCCTCCCCGCGTCGCGCCGCTTTCCCCAGCCAACGAGATGCGGCGGGGAGGGAGGGGCTCGGGGCCCTTAACTGACACTCGCGGCGAGGCCAATGGGGAGCGGCGGCCGCTGGGGGTGGGGGGGGACGCCGGTGAGCGCGAGGCTTCGGCGCGAGGGGGGGTGGGCGTGGCCGAGAGGGCTAGAGCCCTCAATCGGGTGAGAGGGAGGCGTTGACGGGCGTGAGCGGCGGCCAATCGCGGCGAGGAGCCGGGCCGCCCCTCCCCTCCCGCCGCCGAAGCTGCCAGAGAGTCAGGTGGCTCCGGGATGCGCGGCCGCGGCGGCAGGCGGAGGCGGGCGGGGAGGAGAGGGATGCGGCGGCGGCCCGGCGGCACGCGCCGCCCGCCCTCCCCGCTTCCCGCGCTGGGCTGAGGCGGCTGCGGGCCGGGCCGCGGCGGCGGCACCCGCTGCCGGGCCGCGCCGGGCCGCATGAACAATAGGCGGCGGTACCGGCCCCGCCGCCCCCCGCAGCGCTCGGCTGCCGCGGGCGCCTCCCCCTATGGAGCAGCCTCGCCATGGAGCCCCTCACAGCGCTCAGCCAGGAGGGCGCGGGCGGCGGGGAGCCGCCGGGCGGCGGGCCGCTCTGGACGGCCGTCTTCGAGTACGAGGCGTGCGGCGAGGACGAGCTGAGCCTGCGGCCGGGAGACGTGGTGCAGGTGCTGTCCCGCGACTCGCAGGTGTCCGGCGACGAGGGCTGGTGGACCGGGCAGATCGACCAGCGCGTCGGCATCTTCCCCAGCAACTACGTGAGCAGCGGCGTGCAGGGGGGCGGCCCGGAGCTGCGCGCCCGCTACCCGCCGCCCCCCGCCATACAGCGTAAGGAGCGCGGCAGGGGGGCGCCGCGGGGACGGGTGCCGGGGGAAGGGGGCGGACCGGGGCCGCGGCGGCGGGGAAAGGCCCGGGCGGGCGGTGGGGAGCGGCGCGGCGAGGCCCGGCCCTCGGCTCGGACGGCCCCGCGGGGGCGGCCCCGGGAGCGGAGCGCGAGGCTGCCCGGCACTGCGCCGCGCGGGGCTGCCGGGGGCCTTTCCTGTCGGGAGCCCCGCGGTCTTCTGTCTCCGGGCTCGGTAGCGCGAGCGTTCGCGTTTATCGCCGTTTCCCTTTGTTAAATACCGTGCTCCCGTGGGCTGTGAGCCTTCAGACGGCTGAAGCTTCGTGGCTGGGCAGTGCCGCAGCCTCCGGTGGCTCCCCTTTAGGAATGTCCTTAAGGAGAGAGAGGTTGCTGCGTGGGAAGCGCTTGCTTTCTGCAATGATCGTTTGTTACTCGTTCGTTATTTTCCTTGCTCCTAACCAGAAGTCTGTTATCTTTTACTCCTATGTTAATTTGTGTTAGCAGGTTCCCATTTGCCATTTCCCTGCTTTCAAACGCTGCTCGATAACACCTCTGAATGAGTTTTATCAGAGTTTGGATATTTGGGCCTACCTGAGAGTTGCATGATTAAGGTGTGATGCTGAAAGTATGGAGGGGTTGGTTTGTACCGAGTTTCAGAGCAGTTTTGAAGCCTTTGAGCCATTTCATTTTTGCTTATTCTTGCTACCACGTACAATTGCGGAAAGTGAAACAAGAAGGAATGGCTGTTATTAGGTCTTGTTTCTATCAATATTGACAATTCAGGCAAGAATAAAGTTGTGGTTTTGTTTTTGTGGGGGCAGAGAGGAATCTTCAGATTAGTAGCCTTTTCTAGAAAGTAAAAGGAGTAAAAAGGTGCTTTGTCCTATCTGGGACGTATCTCCAAGGAATACAACTAATAGCTTCATTTTTTTTTTTTTTTTTTCCTTATTCCACATCTGCTTGAAAGCATTTAGGTGGAGAGCTCAGTAATTTTTAGAATTACCCTTGGAAATATGAAAAGATTGCTGGGCAGCAGTGGGGCTCGCTTTCATGCTGGAAGAGTGTAGGCTATTTTTCCCACATGCAGAAAATGCTGCAAATGCTCAGTAGGTTTTGCCTCATGACAGCTGGGAAGAACCATTTCTACAGAGATTCTTGAAACCTCAGCTCCTCTCATGCTTTGAGCTGTTTAAGCACAGTCTTTATAACTATGTATTCTCCTGTCCTATTACACTTACTGTGGCAAATTAGTTCAGGAACAGTTGTGGGATTGCACCATCTCCCTTTATTCTTGTTATCTTACCCTTCTGTTGCCCTACCTGCTGCCCTGCCCAGGACAGCACTGCCTCTTTTCTCAAGTAAGCAACCATATGTTCATGATGGAATAGAATTTATTCCCCTGCAGTAAGTTTTTAACGTGCATTCTGGTGGTGGTGAGGTGTTTGTTTTTGTTTGTTTTTCAAGAAACAGTGAGATTTGGATAGATAGAAAAGTTGGTTGCTGTTAAACTGGATTTTGAAACTTGACGTTACAGATTTGCCCTTCACAAGGAGTGATGCTCCCTTTTAGAGTTGGTGCTGCTAACTTGAGGGCTGTGTGGAGTACCGATCCACTGTTAACTTGCTTAATGGAGTAATACAGAGTAGTAATTTGTAGCAGTCATGCAGGTCGTTGCAGAGATGTACACCTCAGTGCAGAAGCTATTTTTAGTTGCTTCCTGAAGTCTATCTTCATGTATCATGAAGGTGTTGGAATGCAGGGTCTTGAAACATTGCTTCCACTAAGAGTTGTGGTAGCGAGTGGCTGCACACTTCCAGCCATCCTGACAGTGCTTACCTTGATACCCTGAGGACAACTACTAAGCATGCTCTCCCTGCATCCCTATTGAGGCTGTCAGTGATGGGTCCATTTGAAGGACCCTCATCTACACTGTGGGCTCTTATGCATGACAGACACAGCTAAGTGGCTTAATCATATGGTGTAATAAATACCAATTAAACAGCGATTACTTTGCAATTGTCAACTTCACCACTGGTTAATAGCATACAGGCTCTGTAATTTCTTTCCAGTCCAGGACCAATGATAGCACTTCTAAAGTTCTACAGCAATGCATTCTGCACCCTGTATGTTCAATTTATTATAGCATGTCTGATAAATTAACTTGAGCTTAGAGGAGGGGTTAGCGTGTTCAGAGAGATAAGGCAAAATGAGTCTTTTATGTGCTACTGTAGCAGTAAATCGAGTCTGTGAAGTTAAACTAAATCAACACAAAATACTTCTTTAATTAAAAAGCTTGTCTAAAAGCGAGCTTTTTCCTGATGGAACTACTTTTGAGGATGAGAAGGCCAGTCTGCATTAAAGAAACGTACACGCATTCAAGGCAAAGCTAGGATTGTTCCTGCAAATAAAAGAACTCATTTCAAAATTCCGCGCAGTGTCGTGTCTTAAATTTCACCTGGAAGCGTAAATCTCGCTTGTGTGCCCCAGACTGCCTCAGCTGTGCACCCAGCAGGGCGTTACTGTTTGTGAAGGGGTGCAGCTGACGGCGCCCGCGCCGTTCGGCTTCCGTGCGTGGCCTTTCCCTCCCGGCGCGGCCCCGGGGGGAGCTGTCCCTTCAGCACCGCCGCTGGCCGGCCGCGGGCTGGCCGCGCCGCGCTCGCTTCCCGCGAGTCCTGCTGCGGGCTTACGTGTTTGGTTCTTCTCGGACTCATCTTTGACTCCATTGTTCGTGGAACAATAGAGAAAAGAAAACAGGCGTTCTTATTATGCGCTATATGCAGTAATAAAAAATTGTTTTCCTGATTGCTGGCCCTGCATGCTCAGTATGCAGTCTGATCCATCTGTTTGTCACACAATTGTCAGTACTGTCAGAATTGGCAGGCAGATCTCATGGGGAACAAGTCTGCAAAGCCTTTAAAGTGTGGAGGAATAAGCTCGATTTTGGAAGGACTAAAAAATTGTTAGTGGCATTTGAATAAAAACTTTCAAATACGGATGAATTCAAGAGAAGATGTTTGATGTTAACTTTTAACTCTATAACAATAAGCACTGTAGTCACATAAGTGAAGATTAGCATGTGACTTTCTCTTGTTTTAGTTTTCAAAATATTGCACTATCAATGAGGGCAAGAAATTAGATTTATCCTTAACGGTGTTTCAGCATGTTAAGATGATATTTTTAAGTGTATCATACACAGCAGTGATGTTGAAATTATCACCATTGAGTGACTACTTTATGGAAGTTTTTATAATACTACAAGTTCTTTTTTATTGTGCTAGTTCTTAAAGAAGTATTATCAGAAGGGACTACTGCTTCCATCTGTGTAATTTTGGGGAGAAAATTGGCCCATCTTAGAAGGGTAAGGGTGAGGTCGGGCAACGTGGATCTTGAGTTAATATACAGGCTGCATACTTGCTAAATATTTACATCTTTTTTTTTTTTTTTTTTTCCCTCTTTTCCTAGTCTTGGAGATCGACTTCTCAGAACTTGTTCTGGAGGAAATCATTGGCATAGGGGGCTTCGGAAAAGTATATCGAGCTGTGTGGATAGGAGATGAGGTTGCTGTCAAGGCAGCTCGCTATGACCCTGATGAGGACATCAGCCAGACCATTGAGAATGTCCGCCAAGAAGCCAAGCTCTTTGCGATGTTAAAGCATCCCAACATCATTGCCCTCAGGGGCGTATGTTTGAAGGAACCTAATCTTTGCTTGATCATGGAGTTTGCCCGTGGAGGATCATTAAATAGAGTGTTGTCTGGTAAAAGGATACCTCCTGACATTTTAGTAAACTGGGCAGTACAGATTGCAAAGGGAATGAACTACTTGCACGAGGAAGCAATTGTTCCTATAATTCACCGTGACCTGAAGTCCAGCAACAGTAAGTGCTATACAATGAACAGTAAGGGAGCTGGGATCAATTTTCAGAAAGAAATAGTATATAGAAGAGAGGGGAATAACTCTAATTTAGGAATCCTTTCTTGTGAACCACTGTATCCTCTAATTTAATCCTGGAGGGGTTTAGTTGTCTACAACATGGTTCTACAGACCACAGAAAAACATGTGAATGCTGTTACTTTGTAGAAGTGACATAAGTGACTGAAAAACTGTAATTGGAGTATGCTTCTGTAGTAGTTCTCATAAGTTTGATGTCTTAGTTCTTCTGGCACTTCAGTGGATTCTGGTGTGTTGGAAAGTACTTTTGAGCTTAAACTGTGCACTTTTTCTACTTTTTTGAAAGATAAAAATGTCTTTTGGAAAGATTAACGCCCTAAAGCTTTTATTTTCCGTGCTATATTTTGCTGTATGTATGAGATATAAGACTAATTTCCTTACGGGAGATAATCTCTACCAAGTGGGAACTTGTCCCAGTCCCTCACAGAGCTAGTGTTGACAGAAACGTTAATTCAAGTAAATGCAATGAACCAATACAGTCTAGAGCTGATGTTTGTGGTGCTCCGTGGGATGCAGCTGACCCATTAAATTACATGGACTAGAGCATCAGTAATTACAATTCTGGATTCTACTCAATAGCAATAGCATTGTTGTCCTCAGTCTGAGGTGGGTTTTTTTTGGTAGTATACCTATTTTTTTCTCCAAACTTTACCTTGAAGTCAAACGCGCACACAGAACCATTATTTATGAATGTTAGAGCAAACTGCTGCAGTGGCTTAATGATCATCTTCATCCTGATGTCAGTTTGCAACTGTTTGGCTTTGGCCTTTCTCTGTGCTTATTTCTTGTCTAGATGACAAAAGAAATCAACTATCTGCATGTTAACTGCAGTGATTTAGTTAGATGTGTTAGTATGAATCCATTTTTATTTATGACTTGAATTAATAAGAAGCGCTGTGAAATGGGTGCCTGAGATGCAGGCACATGCCCTCCTTTGCTTTGAGGACAGTAACATCTAGCAGAGAGGTCTGACAGATGGGAATTTTAATATCTTAAATAGATTTGCTAGAGCTGGTATTAACCATTACGATGCTATAAATTTCAAGTCTGCAGAATCTCCCTATGCTTTTTGGCCTTTAGTCTTTTTTCTTTTCCTTTAGAACTAACTATGTATGTTCACTGCCACAATTATTAGCTTTTATTGGCGAGTTTGAAAATAGGAACTATGAATTTTCAAATTTATTCCTATATTATTATTATGCTACCAAAGTTTCCCTTTTTTCTTGAAAAATCAAGGCAATCTTAACATCTAAACTTCTTCCCTTTCAAGTGGCAGTAGTATTGGCGTATTAATAAAGTGAGAAGAAAGATTGAGTGGTTGTGTTAATTAAGGAAAGGCTGGCTTCATCTGTGAAAAAGAAATAATTAAGTTAAGAGTTGCTTACCTAAGCAAATACTGTCTTACTTCTCTAGCAGGCTGTTAAGACTTGATTGCTTAGTGCCTGAATGTTTTTGAGGCTTAGAAGGAAAGCTAATTCTGTTATGTCCTGGCTTTTCACTGTTTCGTTCAGACTACGGACTGCTAGTTGTGAAAGGAAAATGTACCAGACAGAGTACCAGTGAAATGAGAGGGACACGGGCACACAGGATTGCCAGTGAAACTCAGATATGGGTGAAAGAAAGCATCTGTTCTGGCAACAAAAAAAAAAAAAAAAAAGTCTCTTGTCACAGTGATTCAGCAGTACATAATTTGTGCTGCACTGTAAATCTTCAGTGAGAAGTGAAAGGTTCTGCTAAATAAATTGCTAGAATTTTCCTCATTTGGGAAGAAACAATTGGAAGGGAATAATCAATGAGAATGCCTGTTGAATAATTCTGGGATGTTCTATGTTTGGAGCAGAGGGGGGGAGAATTCCTAATTATTATTACATCACCGTGTATGTATTGTTTGTGTTTTGTGTGGTTTTCTGATGTACTTAATTTTTCTATTGCTGTGCATAGTTGAGAATGAATTAAGTTTTTAGCTTTATGGCTGAAGAATTACAAGCTTATCGCATTTTTTTTTTTTTTTTTGGTACAAGTTTCCACCCACCAACTGGGTAGACAGTAATGCATCTCTGCAGAAGGAACAGTTTCTGCTCGCCAGATCTTGGAAAAGATTCTTGCAGGCAACTTCTGCCATGTACTGAACATCTACCACTATTCCAGAGCTGCCATGAGAGCATCAGCGATATTGGTCTCCTGATTTGTACTGCCTAGCTTTAGTAATAGGTACTTGTGCAATCCTTCTACATCTCGTCTTCAAGAACTACCTGCTATCTTGGACTTGTGCTGACTGTCTGAAGCTGCAGGAGTCGTCAAATGAGGGTTAGGGATTTAGATGGGGAAATGAGAAGGAACAGTTGGCTTATTTAAAGTCAAATTTCCTGTTGGAGTAGTAGAAGATCAGATAATGCTTTGCTTTCAGATGCCTGCCTATGTTCAGGCAGATACAGATTGCATAAGGACAATACTTCATGCTGAACCTTCTAAAAACAGTCGTATTACATTTGAAACTATGAAATGAGTCAAATGAACACCTTAATGCAAGTCTGAGAAATTACCCAATTATATATAAGGATTTGAAAATATCCTTTTTAATCTGAAGTATTGCACTTTTATCTGTGGAAGTAGGTACCCCAAAAAATCTCAATTTGTTTTCAACGTTTTGGATGGCATAGTAAAGAATAGGTTTTCATTGCTGTAGGAGGTAACTCCATTTTGTATGGAGACTGAACGTTGTGAGATTATTTGGGAATTCTGAGAGGTGTAGTTCCTTGAGATTTTCTCAGTCAAAAAACTCTTGCAATTTTCTATTTTTCTTTTAATCAAAAACTTAAGCATCTTATTTTTGTTCCACCATTTTTCTTAATTTATTTGACATTTTTGTTATCTTACATTTTTTTAAAATTAATCCTAATGCATTTACAGTGTAGAAAGCATCCTGTAAATTTTAGAAGCAGTGTTCATTTCGGTTAGAATTTTAATCTTTGGAGGTGAGGTTCTGAGCTGCCTGTTCTCATTGCTGGATGTTATCAGGAAATGAGCGTATGAAATCTTTACAGAACAGACTGCACACCTGTGACTTATTTTTAGAGATCTGAAATTCTTTTGCTGAATGTCAGTTTGCAGCGAGTCTGGGAGGTGAGTGTTCCACTGGAATTGCCGTCTCACGTGTTAGCTGTCTAACTACAGAATAGAAAGAGGATAACCCAGGAAAGCTGTTCAGTTCTGTTGTGAGGGGATGAATCTCTTTTATTTCTTGCATTTGGTTCAAGAGACTCAGTTCTTTTTATATAAGAAATTAATCTTTTTTTTTAATCTGTTGACAGAATCATCTGATTCTTTCTTCTTTTCATCTGGTGATATTGTTAACCTTTGCCTCTTCTCCTGCATGTCAATGCTCTACTGAGCATCTGCTACAGAATTGTTAGTAGGCCTCTCCCAGTGTGGAGGCTTCTAAATCATGGAAAAGGGAAATGCCTACTGAAGGAGACATCATTGTGTTTAGAACAGCTTTTGGCATTTCCCTTTCTCATCTTTCTCATCTGACTGGAGTCTTGTTTCTGGCCATGGGAAGGTGTTCAGTCAGTAATGCTGAAGATCGAAAAGGGCAGTCTTGCTGGTTTCACTGGAGGCACTGTAAATAATCAAGCTGTTTCTATTTGTCTGCCAGCACTAGATATGCCAGCATTGTTAGAGGAATAATGCCCATTAACTAATGCTGCAGAGAACTAGCAAAAGTGTATTTGCTCCTTTTTTTAGCTGGCTCAGCAAAATATGGTTGTTCTTTGCACAGCACTAAGATTTTGCTGAGGGTATTCATGCTACTTAGCTTTTATAAAGCATTTTGCTGCTATTTGCATTCTATAGAGTGACACAGATTAGCAGGGAAGTGACATGTCCAAGGTCAAAGAAAGAGGTAAGGACAGAGCTCAAAATAAAGCCCAGCAGTTCTGATTCATTCAAGTCGGTAGTTCTTTTCTTCTTATTCTTTCGAGGTGTTCACCTCACCACATACTAAGAGGACCAAGGTAAGTCTGTGGTATCCTGAGAATTAAAACTCTAGCTTTCTGAAAATCTCCTGAATCTGCTATAGCTTTGATTATTAGTTTTATACGGTTAAGCCTTTTTCAGTTCATAAAAACGCTAATAGAGCTGAGTTATGGTCTATAAACAGTTGTTCCTAGGAATTAAAATGTTCTTTGTTCTTTATTTTTTTAAACTGTGGTCAGAAGCAAGGGTAGTTTGAAACTAGTTCGAGTGCAGTCTCAGGACAGCATGAGTTGAATATTACATAGCAGTGCTGCTAACACTTGATTAGTTACCTCATTTCTTGTTGCAATATTGGGATCCCAATCCATTTGTAAATGACATTCTTCCTATTGGTCCATTTTGAGAAGGAAAAATGCTTAATGTAAACCTCTTGCTCTATCTGATGACATCACAGAGGAAAGTTTTCTCAGGGTCTGGTTAATGTACTAGTTTGCAGTTTGCAAGTCTGCACTGCTATTACTGCTTCTTGCACTTCAATGTAATTTGCTGAGTAATTCTCCAGTGTTGCACTTTCTACCCAAATGGATTTCCTTTGTCAGTGCTATGAAATGAATGTGAGTAATGCTTCGTATAAAGCATAGTGAAACTATTTTAAGGACATCTGAGTACTTTATGCTGGGTGGATTATTGATTTGGCTTCAGTTAGTTGGTCTTTCTCCTGTGAGGGGGAAGTGAGATAAAAGTAATTTTTTTTTTTTTTTACAAAAGCTGTGTGATTAATTTAGATTAAAATAGTCCATATAGTAAAATCAAGTCTTTTATACTGCCTGAGTACACTCTTGGAGGTGATTAAAGATGGCTTTTTAGGTTTGTAGTGGAAATGCTAAGTATGGCTTGAATCAGTGATTGAGCACCTGGTAGGAAGGCAGGGCCAACCTTGGGGAGCTCAGG